GGACACATGTCTAGACGCCTCTCTCTGGTCGTGTACATGCACTGCAAAGATGTGCCCTCCAGGAAGCCTTACACTTCCCAAGCACCGAAGCTTCCTTCACCAAAGTTGGAGATAAATGAGTCCTCTGTCTTCTGCAACCGAAATCATTCAATTCGGACAAGTCTCATAGGAGTTACACTCTCCGGAATGCGAAGTGGTCTAAACTGCTCTGGATGCTGCGAGATGGTCTTGCGACTTGGTTAACCCGCAGGCCTGAAGATGAACGCCTGAATGCTGATGCTGCGAGTTGAAATATGCGGGTAAACTATCACTGGAAGAGATCTGAAGCTCCCGAGCAAGAGAAATGCTAAGTCCACAATCGTGCGACTTAGGCATGCGAGTTAGCCGCGCCTGGAACTATGCCGCACGATCACTCGCAAATCACTCCGACTTGAGCCTGCGACCTAGGTGCAATAGAGACCAACCCGCACAGTTTGTACATTCCCCAGAAACCGCCTTAGCCCTGCGAGTTGGAGAGGAAGGAGACCAAGCCGCAGCAACACTCGCAAAACACTCCTACTTAGGCGTGCGGCTAAGACAAGGCGATTCAGGCTTCACAAGACAAGTCTTCATCTACTGCGACTTAGGTGTGCGACCTCGGACATACTGGACCAACCCGCAGTAATTCCCACTTTATCCATTAAAGCCGGGTCAGGACCCGGTTTGTTCCGGGCTGACCCGGTTCGTTTTTAAGGAAGTATAAATACTTTCTAGGGTTTTTTTGGGGGAAAAAGTTAAGTTTTATTCCCTTTGTCTCTTGCCTCTTTTGTGAAAGACTCCATTTTAAGAAGAGAAATATCTATACTTGAGTGCTTAATCAAGAGATTTTTAAGAGATCTGGGTGTTTAAAGCTGTTTTCTTTTGAATCTATCATCTCCATCTCCATTTCTCATCATTAATCATGCTAATCTTCTCAACTTGCAAAGGTTTAAGAGAGATTAGTATGATTAGTGAGTAGTCACCTTAATGAGGTTCTAGATATGTAGGTTAGGGTGCTAAAGTGTTAGATTATGAGTGCTTAGGGCTAGATTCATTGATTCATCTCTCTAAACAGCTGTTCTCTATGCTAGATCCTTGATAATCACTTGAGATCTAGATTCTGGGAATTTCATGCATCAAAAGTGTTTGATGAAATTCCTGAAAGAGCTGTATTAGAGGTTTAAGCATTTTTCTGCATGATGATGTATTGTTATTTGCTTGAATGATCATTAAGAGCTGTTTGTTAATGCATATTGATTCATGTTTCACAAATGGGAATTTGGTTTGAAAATGGATTAGTATAGGGGTTAATACCTTCATGAGAGGATTAACCTAGATTTGAGTTCTTAATCATTTGAATCATGTCTCATCATTGTCATTAGCATTTCTAGTTTAGCACCAAAGCACCCTAACCAACTATCATGTCTAGAATCTCATGCCTCCATCATATCATATTCACATCATTTGTCACTGTCATTAGTCTTTAATCCTGTTTATGTTTATAGTTGTCTCTAGATTAATCAAAACCCATTCTTGTTTGCTTGAATTAAGAACTTGATCATATAGCTTAGTGTCTAACACCACATCTGGATTGATAAACCTCTTTGTGCTACATTGACAAGGGGATTGATAGCCCTGAGACCCTAAAAAGTCATGTCTATCACTGATATGGAAGACCAAAGAGAGCATGTGGTAGATATAGAACAACCGGTTCAGGAGCAACAGGCTCAGGGTAATGGAGCTGGTAATGGAGTTGGTCAAGGGTTACATCAGGGTAATGTTCATCAGGAACAAGTGCATCAACAGCAAGCTTATGTCCACCAGGGACGAGCTCCAGCTCATCAACAGAGGTATCAGGCCAATGTACAGCAAAGACAACAGGTGCACCACCAACATCAGCCCTTCCAACACCAGCAAAGGAGATATGAGCAACCACAGGTATATGTTGGAGAGAATGACAGGGCAAATGATCATCAGTATGGAGCTGGAATTCAGGCACCACATGTGCAAAACAACAACTTTGAAGTGAAGGCATCCTTGTTGAATATGGTCCAGAACTCAAAGTTCCATGGATTAGCAATGGAAGATCCCTTGGAACACTTGGATCAATTTGATAAAGTGTGTGACCTGACAAAGATTAATGGACTTTCTGAGGATAGTTTCAAGCTAAGATTATTCCCATTCAGTCTTGGTGACAAAGCTCAACAATGGGAAAAGAATCTTCCAAGAGGCTCCATTCAAACCTGGGAGCAATGCAAGCAAGCCTTTCTATCTAAATTCTTCTCCACCTCGAAAACTGCTAAACTAAGGAATCAAATCTCTAGCTTCACTCAGCACAACAATGAGAGTTTTTGTGAAGCATATGAGAGATTCAGGAGCTACACCAACCAATGCCCACACCATGGGTTTAGTGAGGCTTCTCTTCTCAGCACACTTTATACAGGAGCTCTTCCCAAGATTAGAAACCAGCTGGATACTGCTTCCAATGGGAACTTTCTGAGTAAAGAGATTCATGCTGCTTTAGAGCTAGTGGAGAACTTAGCATTGAGCAAAGACACTTATGGTGAAGACTATGACAGATCAAATAGATCTGAAGGTTCAAGCTCAGAACAGAGGCTCAGCAGAGAAGTTAAGGAGTTGAGAAGTGAATTGGACAAGTTGAAATTCACCACTCAAAAGCCAATGCACTTTGTAGCAGAGTATGAGGAACCTTCTCAAATCTTTGAGAACATAAGTGAAGAAGGTCTAACACAGGAGGAGCTTAACTACATTGGGAATCAGAGGTTCCAAAGATATCAGTATGGCAATGCAAATCAGAACCTCTCTTACAGGAATCCGAATGTGGCAAACCCACAAGACCAGGTCTATCCTAATTCTCAAGCTCCAAAGAACTTTGTTCCCAAGAACAACTTTCAAGGGTCTTTTCCACCCAAGAATCAGTTTGCTCAGAATCAGGGTTTTGGTCAGCAACATCAACCATTTCAGGGTACTGGTTTCAGTTCACAGCAACAGCAAAAGGCAACACCAGGGTTTGGTCCACCACAGTTCCAGCAGCAAGCGCCGGTTCAACAACAGTTTCAGCAACCAATGGTTCAGCAGCAGCCACCGATGGGGTCAGATATGTTTGGTATTCTGCAACAACTACTTCAAGGTAAACAGATATTTGCAAGCCAGAATGCAGCCATGCAGCATGAAATCAAGGAATTGAAACAAAACCAGGCCTCAAGCTCAAGGAACCAAGGCCATCTCCCTGGAAAACCTGAACCCAACCCCAAGGAATATGCTAAAGCCATCACACTGAGGAGTGGAAAGGAGCTACCTGGTATTGAGAAAAACAATGTGATCATTGAGAAAAATGATCAAACTGAGGGGGAGGCAGCCTTAAAAGATGACCAAGTTGCTGAGAAACCAAAGAAAGAAAAGGGTAAAGAGGTAGCAAAGGAACCTGAACCAGAAAAGGTATATGTGCCACCACCTCCATACCAACCCAAGCTCCCATTTCCAGGGAGGTTTAAGAAGCAGCTTGTAGACAAGGCAAGAGCTGTATTTGAGAAGGCACTCAATGAGGCACCACTCACTATGCCTCTCATTGATGCATTCCTAATGATGCCAAAGATTGGTCAGTTATTGAAGGATGCCATTCTGAACAAGACTAAAGAGCTTCAAGGCATGGTGGTACTAAGTCATGAATGCAGTGCTATCATTCAGAAGAAATCCATTCCAAGAAAGTTAACTGATCTAGGGAGTTTCACACTGCCTTGTGCCATTGGACCTCTTCTATTCTCTGGATGTCTTTGTGATCTAGGAGCATCAGTCAGCTTGATGCCATTCTCCATAGCAAAGAAGCTGGGCTTTAGAGTCTTCAAACCAGCAAGGATCTCTCTTATCCTTGCAGATAGATCAGTTAGATTGCCTGTTGGTATGTTGGAAGATCTGCCTGTCAAGATTGGTGGTTTTGAGGTTCCAACTGATTTTGTTGTGCTGGAAATGGATGAGGAACCAGTTGATCCTCTTATCTTGGGCAGGCCATTCCTGGCCACTGCAGGAGCTATTATTGACGTGAGAGGTGGGATAATAGAGCTTCAACTTGGGTCTGAGAAGCTCAAGTTTGATGTGAATGAGATGATGAAGAAACCCACCATTGAAGGTCAGTGCTTTTATGTGGAGACAATGGATCAGTTGGCTGATGAGTTGCTTGAGGAACTGAACACTGAGGATCCTCTTCAAGCTGCTCTAACTCAAGAACAAAGGGACCATGGCCTCTTAGCAGAAGAAAGTGAAGGGTATAAGCTGTATTTGGACAATGCTAGAGAAGTTGGTCCGGAGACAAGGTTTTTGGAACTGGAACAAAGTGGCTCTGAGGTCTTGGCTATAAAAGGAGCAGAAATGAGCCAATGCAGCTTGGACAAGGATTGAAATGAGGCTGATGCACCCCCTGTTGAGCTCAAGCCTCTACCAACAGGGCTCAAGTATGCATTCTTGGGCTTAAACTCCACATATCCAGTAATCATCAATGATAGCTTATTAGAGCATCAAGAGAGTGCATTGCTTAGTGAGATAAGAAAGTTAAGGAGAGCCATAGGATATTATTTGGCTGATATTAGAGGGATCTCTCCTGACATATACACCCACAAGATACACCTAGAGGACCAATCTATGTCCTCTATTGAGCATCAACGACGTCTTAACCCAAACCTTAAGGAAGTGGTTAAGAAGGAGATACTAAAACTTCTTGAGGCAGGGATAATTTACCCAATCTATGACTCAAGATGGGTATCTCCTGTTCATGTTGTGCACAAGAAAGGTGGGATCACAGTGGTTAAAAACGAGAAGGATGAGCTGATAGCTACTAGGACTGTCACAGGACACAGAATGTGTATAGACTATAGAAAGCTCAATGCAGCCTCTAGGAAGGACCATTTTCCTTTGCGTTTCATTGATCAGATGTTAGAGAGGCTTGCAAACCACCCCTTCTTTTGTTTTCTTGATGGGTACTCGGGGTTCTTTCAAATCCCCATAAATCCCCGAGATCAAGAGAAAACAACATTCACTTGCCCTTATGGCACATTTGCATACAGGCGAATGCCTTTTGGTCTCTGTAATGCCCCTGCCACATTTCAACGATGCATGACGCATATATTCTCTGACATTATTGAAGAGAAGGTGGAGGTGTTCATGGATGATTTTAGTGTCTATGGCTCCTCCTTCTGGGATTGTCTCTCTAATTTGTCACATGTCTTGGAGAGATGTGAGCAGCATAACTTGGTGTTGAATTGGGAGAAATGCCACTTCATGGTGCAGGAAGGAATTGTACTTGGGCATAAGATATCTGAGAAGGGCATAGAGGTTGACAGAGCAAAAGTGGAAGTAATGGTGAATCTGCAAACTCCCACTTCAGGCAAAGGGATAAGGAGTTTTCTTGGGCATGCAGGGTTTTACAGAAGATTTATCAAAGACTTCTCAAGAATTGCCAGGCCGTTGACAAGGCTGTTGTGTAAAGAAGTTGATTTCATCTTTGATGCTGAATGTGAAGAGGCATTCAAGACGATCAAGGATGCATTAGTCAGTGCACCAATTGTCCAAGCCCCAGACTGGTCTCTGCCTTTTGAGGTTATGACTGATGCATATGATTTTGCAGTTGGAGCTGTACTTGGCCAAAGGAAGGATAAGAAGCTTCATGTCATCTACTATGCTAGTAGAAGCCTTGACTCTGCCCAAGAGAAATATGCTACCACTGAGAAGGAAATGCTGGCAATAGTCTTTGCCTTTGATAAATTCAGAAGCTACCTGGTGGGATCAAAACTCATTGTATATACTGATCATGCAGCACTCAGGTATCTGATGACCAAGAAAGATGCCAAGCCTAGACTGTTGAGATGGGTTTTTCTACTTCAGAAGTTTGATATGGAAGTACAAGACAAAAAGGGTATAGAGAATGGAGCTGCAGACCATCTCTCTAGGTTGAGAATAGACTCTGAAGTCCCTCTTAATGACAGTCTTCCTGAGGAATCACTGATGGTGCTCCACTCATATTTGGAGTTTGAAGAAGTGGATAGCATTCAAGAGAAGAGGATGCCCTGGTTTGCTGATATTGTGAACTATCTTGCTTGTAGAGTGGAACCACCTGAACTAGATGCTTACCACAGAAAGAAGTTTTTCAGAGATGTCCAAAGATACCATTGGGACGAGCCTTACCTGTATGTCCTGAACAAAGATCAGCTGTATAGAAGTTGTCTTGCTGAGGAGGAGATGCCACCTGTGTTGCAAGAGTGTCATGGTTCAGCTTTTGGGGGTCACATGGGAGCATTCAAGACTGTGGCCAAGGTTCTTCAGAGTGGGTTTTGGTGGCCCACAATGTTCAAAGATGCTCAGATGGTTGTTTCAGCATGTGATGCCTGTCAGAGGCATGGGAACATTTCAAAGAGGAGTGAGATGCCTCAAAACCCAATCTTAGAGGTTGAGATCTTTGATTGCTGGGGAATTGACTTCATGGGGCCTTTCATTTCATCCTATGGGAATCAGTATATACTTGTTGCTGTGGACTATGTGTCCAAGTGGGTTGAGGTCATTGCTTCCCCTACCAATGATTCCAAGGTAGTAGTGAAGTTGTTCAAGAGCATTAGCTACATCAGTTCCCCTTCTTGATCCACCACCAGCCTGTTAAACAGGTTTCCAAAGTCAAACTTAGAGACTTTAAATAAAGTGCTCTTGGGAGACACCCCAAGCTTATCTTTTGTAAATATGCTTTTAATCTTTTGATTTCTTTCTTTTTTATGTTTTAGGATGTTTTGATGGGTTTGTTTAGTGTCTACAGGTTACAGGTTTGAGTTTGAACCCTTGGGAAGTGAATGCAAAATGAAAAGGAATAAAGGAATGGGCAAAAGCTTATGCTCGGTTTTGAGCATGGTCACCAGCCACGGTCAGATAACAAGGCGTGGCAAGCTTTTAAGCTAAGCCACGAGAGAGGAATCACGGTCTTAGGTGTGGCCGTGACAAAAGAAGCAACCATTCGGGGTTTGCCACGGCTAAGAGACACGGGAAGAAGACCGGCCGTGGCAAAGAAAGGAGGAATGAACCATCGTTCGGTGCTTGCCACGGTTAAGGGACACGGGGCCGCAGCAGGCCGTGGCAATACAAAGATAAAGGAACCTGGGTTCGGGTTTAGACACGGCCAGATGACACGGAACTGAAGCTGGCCATGGCAAAACAGGTTTGGAAAGACAAGGGTTTGTGTTTTGACACGGCTAAGAGACACGGGAAGAAGACCTGGCCGTGGCAAAGAAAAGAGGAATAGACCAATGTTCGGCGTTTGACACGGTCGGAAGACACGGGTAAAAGGACCTGGCCGTGGCAATGAAAAAAGATGAACAACCAAGGTTCGGTGCTTGCCACGATGAGTTTGCCACGGGAAGAAGATTTGACCGTGGCACAGGTTGGAAAAGAAGCGATCGTTCGGGGATTGCCACGGTCAAAAGACACGGAACGCTCCAGACCGCGGCAGAGAAAGCACAAACCTTCGGCGTTTGACACGGTCACGTGCCACGGTCAACGATGGCACGGCAAAATTTTTGAAAAATCTTGACCGTACGGACATTGACCGGTCAAAGACGCGCCCTTTACAGCTGTTCCCCACCTGGTTTTCTTCTTCACACGAGTTTGCCTCCTTCTCTCCATTTCTTGAACTTTAAACACTCATATCTCTCTCGTTCTTCAACCAAATTGAGGAATTCCAACTGCATTGAACTCGTAATCCTGTCTAGTTTCTTGCTGCACATTTGTTTTTCACTCGAAACTTGAAGATTCCAAGGTACTTTAGTCTGTTAAAACTCACCTTTTCCATGTCTTAATGTACTGTTCATGAACAAGAAACACATGGAATCGATTTTAATAGGCCTCTTGATACCTTGGAATCATTTTGTGAATGCTCTGCAAGTAGAATGGATAGGAAATGCATGGATCTTGCTTGAGAATGACCTGTTCTTGGAATTTTTGGGAAATTTCTCGAAATTCATCAAGTATTTCGATTTTTTTTTTTTTTAGAAATCGTGTCTCAAGCTGAACTCTTTGTGTGCATTGCTTCTTGCCATTGCTTTGAGTTTATTGAGTTTTTAACCAGCTTAAGACACATTCTCTGCTAGTGAAATCGATCTGTACCACCCCTGAACTTGGTGAATTTTTGGAAAACTTTTGTTGTTCTCTTGCTTTGGTGCTCACAGCTGTTTGAGAAAATGCAGGATGGGAGGAACAAAAAGAACAGCGGCCATGGAGAAATCAAAAAAAGAGAAAGCTGGAGCTTCGGAGGATCAGATTATACCTTTTGGGCATAAAGTTTTCAAGAAACAGAAGAAACAGATAAAGCCAAAGACTCCAGCTGAGAAGAAAGCAAAGAATGTGGCTGCACCAAAGAAAACCAAGGCTTCTACTTCAAGGAGTACTGGTAAAGAACTGGCGCTGGTTGGAGCTGTCCAAAGGAAAGGAAAAGAGGTGGCTGTGGCTGAGGATGAAGAAGAAACAGAGAGTGATCCCGAAGTAGCATTGCAGCCGGTTAAGAAAGCAAAGACAAAACCAGAACCTGAGGATAAAGAACCAACTTTTGATGACTATTTTGCTATGTTCAAGGATGTAAAGGTGCTGCAAACCAAGTTCCCTGATATGGAGCTGCTGAAAAAGATGGGGCTACTTGAAGAGGTTCAGCTCATTTTTAACAACATGGGATTTGGTGGATTCTTTGAGATGAAAGATGTGGCTCATGATGGAGTAACACAAGAGTTCCTTGCATCCCTTGAAGTTTGTGGATATAGCCCAAGAGATCAGAGGATCATGGAGGGAAATGGTCTTGGGCACATAGAGTTCACAATCAATGGTACACAATACCATGTAAGCTTCAAGGAATTAGATGAGATCTTTGCCTTTTCAAGACCTGCACAGGATGAGACATTGAAGTTCACATACCCTGATCACATGATTACTGACCTGTGGGATACAATTACTTTTGGGAGCTTCAGAGGAGGAAGATGCAAGAGTTCATGGATAAGAAACCCAGCCATCCGCTATGCTCACAAAGTGCTTTGCCAAATGTTTTTTACCAAACACAATGATGGTGTGGTGCATCTAGCTAACATGGAGCTACTGGGTATGGGTCTACATCCTCTCATCAGTCATTTGAAGAGCAAGAGAGAATTTCATCTCCCACACTACATCCCTACTGGTGGTGCATTCTTGGCACGTCATATGCTGATATACAAAGACATTGCTTGGAGGGAGGGTAAAAGGCAGAAGCTCACTAAGTTGCACAATGGATGGTTAGTGACAAAGATTCTGAAAGCAAGAGGTTTTGTCTTTGATGATGTTGAGGTCAAGCCTGAGTTGATTGATGAAGCAACCCTCACCAAGGTTGGGTTTTTAACAGAAAGAAATGGTGAAAACTTCTTGTACACCTTCAAGCTTTTACAAAATGAGAAGGTCCAAGTTCTGTTGCCACACCCAGCCATCACCACTCTCACAGAAAGGCACAATGTCTCCTTTATTGTTCTAAAGGATCAGCTTTACAACCCAGCCATTGACCCTCCAATTCGCAAATGCAAGAGGACAACAGGATCCAAAGGTAAAGAGCCAGTTGAAGAGCAGAGCACAGCTAGGGCTGCCGGTTGTGAGAATGAGGAGCCAAGAGATTTTGAAAGAAGGATGGGAGCAGGCCGGTACCATTTTGATCCTTACTTTTGGGGTGAACCTGAGTATCACACAAAGAAGCTGTATTCAAGAGTTAACAGCCTTTTGAAATGGTGCAAATGGCAAGACAAAACGATCCACAAGCTAGTTGACTGTGTTAGGCAACTAAAGAAGAAGGTAAAGAAACTCACAGCTCCAGCCACCTCACCCAAATGAGATACAAGAGAAGAGGTGGGAGAAAGCTCAGCAGCTCGGGACATTGAGCTCCCACCAGGAAAAGAAGACTGGATCAACCCGGCCACAGTGTTCCTACCAGACTCACCTGAGAGCAGCCGACCTAGATACTCAACTCCATCCTGCTCCACCTCCAACCCATCCCACTACCTGGGATCAGACCTCAGTGATTGAGGTAAACACTCCAAACTCTGTACATATGCATGTAGATTTTCTTTTACTCTTTGCATTTTACTTGTTTGCTTTGCTTTTAACTCCTTTCTCATGCTTTTATAACACAAGGGACTGTGTTATTTAAGTGTGGGGGGAGGAGTTTCATACTTTCCTAATCATGTTTTCTCTGTTCTTATTTTATAATTTGAGTCTTGAGTCACATTCTAGTTGCATATTCATGTAATCTCATCTAAGTGCATATAAAAACCAAAAAAAATGGAAAAATCTGAAAAATTTTCACAAAAAAATGATCATGTAGTTGCATTCTCATTTTTAGGATTGAGTCTAGATTGCATATTCATGTAGGGTGCAGGGAGTAATGATAGGTTTTCTAGAGAGTACATCACTTTGAGAACTTGAACTGAATATGCTTGTGAATCTTTTTCTGTGCTTGCAAAGTCTGAAACGATCTGGATCTGAGAAGCAAGTTTGAATTGAACTCAACTCTAGTTAAGTGAGAACCTTGAACTTGACTTGAAAATATCTTGTGATGCATTGTTTGAAAAAGCTTGTGGATACCGACATACATACTTGAGCTAGAACCATTGTTTTTACCACCCTTTTTCCTTAGCTCAAGTA